CTAGAGGTAATCTGAGTAATTAAAGGAATCTGTCAACTGCCGAATGATAATACAAAAATCCTACTGTAATGACACATCTTGCTAGGCACAATAGCATATATTCTCGAAAAATAGATTTTTTTCTCCTTATGCCTATAAAAATAGTTAAAAATTTTACAGAGAGCTTATGATCCAAAAATTCAACATAATTTAGAATTTAGAGGATACTCCGAAGATCATTAGTCAATTGATCAAATGCCTCATTAATTTGATTCTTAAAATTGCTAAAAGTAAAAAAGAAACACCCATGATAAATGAATATAAGTAACGCAATCAAAATTCTGCGTTTTAATAAACAAATTGAAAAGAAATGGCAAATAATAACATTAACAGCTGCAAGATCATTTGCTGCAATGTCTGTATCAATTAAAAAATTTGCCTAATTGTTAATTTTTATGCTTAATTTGTTTCTCAAACTAATCAATGAAGTTAGATAGATTAAAAATAAATAGCTTAAAGAATTTACCTGTACCATTAGTTACAGCTAATGCGTTAACATTTTCAATTTCAATAATTTCATGTGGTGTTGTCATATTTCCGCCATTTGGCATAGAAATACCATCTTTGAGGTGAGGTCGAGCAGCACGTTTTCGTCTACTCTGGAATAGCTAGAATAAATGACAAAAATTGTTTAAAATGACTTTTTTAAGAATTATTTTTGAAGTGTTTTATACCTCTCCGCGGGTATTTTTCAGCAAATGGAGTAATATACAAATAAAGCTGTGATATGAAATGAAATATAATTGTGGGACGTTCGGTCTTCACCAATCAAAAAGTCTTTGACACCTATCCTATAACCATAATTCACCTAAAGCAGTTGCTCAATTTAATAAATTCTGCTGCGGCATTTTTTTACAGTATGAATAAGACTTTACTTTTAAAACAAAATAGCAGTCAAAAATGTTTTGGTGACTATTTTGAGTCAGGTAAACTACCGATGAAAAGTTATTTAAATTCTTATGAGGTGAAAGTATTTTATTTACAATAAATTTTTAAAAAATTTACCCCAGCTAAATTAATTGACTGTATACTTTCTGTTGAACTTCTTCGCCTTTCTCCATCTTGCTCAGTCTGAAAAAGAAAATTACAACAAATGAGGATTAAGTACGGAACAAATTAATAAGTCCCATTGAAAAAAAATCTGAAATCTCTCACAGACAATTATATCCATCTCACGTAATTCTATTTCGCAAAAGCTAGAAAATCCATACATCTTGAAGATTGTCATCCGAACTGAAATCTGAATCCGATGACGAATCAGTCCCAGAACTAGAACTAGAACTGGAACTATCATTCAGATCATTTTCATGCTCTGCTGCAGTTTGCGGTTGCAGCAGCAATTCTTCGCGTGACTTAAATTCCAGCAAGAATATGGTCAGTGGACAGAATAAACCAAACAACACTTTTAGATTGGAATGACTAAAAATCTCGATTTCATCAATTAACGAAACAAAGAAAGCTAGTGAGAAAACATTTCCAATGTTTTTAACTTCCACTACAATGTGAGAAAAAAGTTAATTAGATCTAAATCATATTTTGATAAAACATAACTTATGAATAAACAGTTTAAAAAACAATGTAAAAATTTAAAGAAAATTAAGGAAAAAATCAAAAATGAAAAAGAAACAAAATAATTTCCTACCTTCGCATCCTTAGGCCACCATGCCACAAATCAGCTAATAGAATTTGACAACTGAAAAACATCAGAAAAGTTTATGGAAAATATAAAAACATCGATGCCCTCAACGAGAGCATTGCTCAAATATCCTCCTGATAATACAAACATAGGTTTTACACAATATTGTGCAACCATTTTTCTTCTATCTATTTTCTAGTTAGGTCATTGATAGTATTTGTCATTTTATAATAAAATTTGAAAAAGAGAGACGATTCTAAACTTCTACCATGGATGCGCCAAAAATTGTTTATTATTGACCATTACAGCAACTGAAAGACACGTTTCATTCCCCCAATTAATTAATTCATAAGTAAGCAACTGAAGTGTTTGTGCATCGTCATGATGGTAACAATGCTCCAACAGTGAAAGTGAAAGTTTGCGGAAATCCCTTTAAAACAAGAATATAATATTTGTTGTATTAAAATAACAATATCCACAACAAATGAGATAGAAAGTTTTGTGTAATAAATTCTAATCCTGAAAAAAAGAAAGCTTGAGAAACATTTAATTCATCTAGCTCATTACAACATCAGAATTTTAGTTAGTGAGCAACACCGAATCACAAAAATATTGGAAGATCAAATTTTAAGATTTAAATTTAAATTACTACTTGCTTGTTATAGCACATACTATTGAAATATATTTAGAAATTATAAATTATGACAAATGCTCTAATAAAAATTGTAATCTAAAATTATAACTCCACATAAAGATTTTCGATACTCACAGGTATTCTTGAAGAATGGTCCTGGACATATCCGAAACTAAACAAAACGGAACACTATTAAAAAGAAAAGTAATTAATGTAGAAACTCACTCTGCATGATTCTTTAATTCTTCACAAATTTCAACTTCTAAGTAATCTTCTGCAGCTTCTTTTGCTAAGCTTTTGTACAATCGGCATGCTACCAAAGCCTGTAAAACCTCACAGAAACGTCATTAGCAATACATTCAGTCTTATCCACAACTTGTTTGTTACTGCACTTCTTTAACGTGATGGAAGCGTAAACAGTGTTCAAGCGTAAACAAAAATTTCAACAATATCCAAAGAGCTCTCAGTAATAAATTCGTATTCGATTTGACAGTTTCAAAGTTCTTTCCTAACGTCAAATTCAAAAAAAAAAAGAAAAAAATGCCATTTGAAAACATCCAAATAACGCTTTTCATCTAAAATAGTATCTAAGAGATGAAAATCAAATTCTTAAGTTAACTTTAATTATACTTCATTCAGAATAAATGAAAGAACCTTTGCCATAGCCTCTTCACCATGTTGCCACATGCATAGTGCCATCTCTTGTCGTTTCGTTAAAACAGCCCAAATAAGAAGCTCGTTGAACGGATATTTGAAATCATCCACACCTTTTTCCATATCAGAGCACAAAGATTCTGAAAATGTAAAGCTACAAATGATTTTGCTGCAATCCATTAACTACAAGTATGAAATATTAAAAATAATTTTAAAAAAGAAGAAAAGTCGGAAGTACATCCAGAGCGTTATCTAATCTCAATTGATTCTTACCATTTTCAATATCAGTAACTGTTTCCTGTACTGCAGTTGGTTTCGGTAGTGCCATTAATCCAAAATTACTTGCTGGATTCTGGAATTTTCAATCCTCAATTATATAAAACGATCCGGCCACTTCATCACTGTGCTCCCCACATTTCCACCAAAATGTACAACTGCATTTTTGAGGCGAAAACAGTTAGCAGATGTTCAAACGATAAAGAAAATTTGATAAAGAAAAAATTCGTTTAAAAATTCAAAATTAGAAACATACATCTCGCCTTGAGCGCCATAATATGTGATGATTCAGTGCGCGATTTCCAGAATATGCAGCTAAGACAGCATCCGTGCCAAGATTATCCGGACTTGTTACTGGTGTAACAAAGCCATCGGATGCTAAAGAGTCCCGAATGCTATCCTGATTCTGTTTCCGAAGTTTCTGAAAAAGAAGAGAAAAAGGAGTGAGAATTTCTAAAAACTCCAACTTAGGGACAATGATGAATTGGTTTTCAACTGAAAATTTATGTGGTAAATTTGATAAATCGCAGAACTGCAGATTTATAATTAACATTATTGGCTTTATATTCGAAAACCAACAACTAAATACCTTCAATTTATTCCTATAAAGAAGATATTTAGAACGAAAAGGTTCCGTTGTGTACGACGATTTGTACGCATAGCCCATAAGTTTTTCAATTGCAAGACCAATATGAGGTAGGCGATAACGATATCCGTCACGGATTTTGACCACATCTCGTACTATGTAGAACAGTGTGTTAGGCGGTCCTTTATCCTAAAATCACGTCTTAAAAGGTTAGGTATAATGGAATTTGATATAACACTACAATTTATTCTGTAAATTAGGAAAAAAATCAATGTATCGGTTTCGTTTTGAGCTTGTTAATTAATGTCAAATTATACCAAATTATGTGGATAAGGTAAAAAGAAAAAAATTGTTTTCTTAACCTTTCAGAATCAAACAAGAAGGTATTACATTTTAAATAAAGAATTGGTAACAAAGTGCTATTTAAGTAAAAACAGATTGTTTCCCGCATATTTAACCTGTGTGACTGTATAAGTTCAAAATCTTACAAGATGCAATAAAACGGATGACTGCTGAGCCACTAAAAGTAATCTCTTTAATCATTTCGCTATAGCATGCTAAACATATTAGTTTATGATGGATAAGACATAATCAGATAAGAATGCCCGTTGTCATTTGTATAATAAATTTCCACTCACCGTATTATATAATTCTTCCAACCGTCCAATGCTCAAAAAATTACCCATACTAACGCCATTTTCAAGCAATAAACGAACAAAATCAACCCGATCATTTATTAAAGCTTCCATCATTGCATTATGAAGAGCTGTCTTTGGCCAATCCTACAAATTACAATCCTTCTATTTTTCATTTTAGCCTTTTTTATAATGACTCACTTGTTTGAAATCACTGTAAATACTTCATGGCTGTTAGCATGCCCGACAAAGCTATTTTCAGGCCATTAAAAAAAATTACGCATCACAATAGAAAATATGATGATAAATCATCACATTGTATCATTTTAATTTCTCATCTATGGCAACTATGCAAACAGATAACATGAAAAAAAAGGGAACTGGCAATTCAAGAAAAAATCTCATATAAAATTTCATGCCTGACGTTCACTTAAAATTCAGCAAATTAAATTACTGACCTGTCCTAACACAAATATGTCTGATCGTGCTATGTCAACACGGTTCCAAGCTAATGCCAATGCAAGCTGATCCGGTGGTGATAAATTTTGTTCTTTCAATAAAGCTGTTAATATGGCATGATCGACATCTTGTTTCTGATCTTCACCCAAACGAAAAATTGTTATCTATAACAAAATTTTTTAAAATAATGATTTAAAATTTGCACGGGAATAGCTGCTGTAATATTCGATTTAACAAAAATTTCAAGTTCTATCCCTGCTTCAATTTATTCTTCAAGAAGCTCATTTAGCTTAGAGAACAAGGAAAGGTAAATAAGGAAAAGATGCTGGGGTAAACACCATAGGAACTGGTTGAAGGCTTTTTTTTCTGTGCAAAAAATGTCCAGACATCTGTTTAATAACATTCTCTAAGCCTGTTAAAATTCTTGAAATTTCATAGTCATAATTCAAATTTCAAAATCACTTCAATGGCAAATAAAAATGACCAAATGTCTTTGACGGACACACATCATCAATTGTTCTAGAAGTTTTTCAGCTGCGTTAGTATCATAACCAAATACATATTGGACTAAACTGAACAGTTGAGGCTTGACACCTTCGGGTAACTGTCTAAAATGAGAACATTAGAAAGAAAAATGGACCAAACGCATTCATATGAGCAAATGGCATAGCTTAAATACAATAGAAAGATAGTCTAAGAAATTTCAACTAAAGTCAAATGACAGTTCTCATTGTTTATTTAGCTAAAGTTAATGTATTCAAATTACTGACAGTTGCTAATGAGTTAGTGAATCACACGAAACAATTTTGCTGTCACAGAAGTTTGTTCAGAATGTCTATACCAATAATAGAACGGATAATATCGACGTCCAAAATGTTCATACCAGTGGACATATGTTTTGCAAATAGCAACACAAAGTTAGTGGCTTTATTTGAAATTTTCAAAATACCAAAAAAATACCCATCTTCCTGCACGTACTGATGCGCAAATGCTAACAAATCAGCTGCCCGACCACTGCCATCACAGATGACAACTGGAACTCGTGGTGACCTGTGAATATGACATCGTTTGAACTTTTTATTTCATATCTACTCCTATTAAGTGCCGGAATATTCAGGACAAACACTTTTTACAGTGGTGCAATAATTGTGATATGCACAAGATCGAAAATTAATCATTAAAAGAATCAAATAATCCAATTAATAAAGCTAAAAATAATACAAAAGAAAGTCGAATGAATATTATAACTGAATTGACAATTTTCTCCCATTTAATTGACAACTTATTTGAGAATGGAAGTAAAATTAAATATACAAGTAATCGATAACAATCTAATAAATTAAGTCATTAAATCAAGTAAACTTACATACAAACACAATCGTAAACTGCTTTAATTGTACAAGTTCCACCTTCCAGAACAACGCAGACAACCGGAACGCTTCGTGTTCCGTTGCCAAGCGTTCGTTTTTGAGAAATATATGATTCCAGCCTTTTCCTCAGTATCACATCAGCCCCATAACTAAAAATTATCTTACTCATTATCGATATCATCAGTACAACCGATACCTACGGTAATTTAACCTCAGCATCACTAAAAGGTCATGCAGAAAACTGTCTAACCCTCGAATGGAACTGTTATTAAGCATGAACTGAATGAATCTATTCAAAACATACCGTCCTATAGTACCATTATCAACAAGTAGAAAATATGAATGTCTATTATTCAGTACAGCAAATCGTCCTTTAGGAGAGAAGGAATGTGGATGATATGGAACAACTGCATCCTGAAATAGAATCATTTTGATTACATCAAAAAATGCATTAAAAAATTAAGCCTAAATTTAAACCTGGAACTTACTTGTCCTAGAAGGCTGTCTCTCTTCTTCAGTAAACCCCACGGAGCAATACCAATGGTGACTATTTTGGAACGAACTCGTGAAACACTACCCGAACCATCAACTGCTGCTGCAACTTGACGAACTACACCGGCATTGATACCTAAATTATTTTCATTACTACTAAAAAACCAAATTCAACCTGAAATCAATAATATTCAAAATTTAGAATTTTCGTAATTCAAAAAAATTAAAAAAAAGCGAGAAAATAATTTTAAGGCATTAACCTTCTAAATGAGAAAGAATATTTAAAGATCATTCACCTGCCGTAATAATCCATGCACCCGTAGTTTTCGCTGCCTTCAATAAACCTTTACGAAACACTCGTGCTAATTTTGGTTGCAAACTAAAAATTGGAAAAAAAAACTAATTCAAAATTTCAGAAATTTCGAAAATATTGTTCATTCTCCGTTTCATAACCGATTTTATCTGCATAGTATTACTACTAAATCTTTTTTTGTTGCATATGTCGAAAAACCTCACTAAAAAATCAAATGGTATTGCAAACTAATTTTAAATTAAAAACAATTTAGATAGTTATAAATCCTACTCGAAATCTGTCATGCCTCCATGAACTGTTATAATTAATTTTGGAGCTGGAACATTCCAGACCGTTTCGAATAAATCCATAATGTCAGCTGGATTTGATTCGACTGTCAATCTCAGATACTGCGCCTTATACGGATGAGGTGCACCTATAATATTATGATAAACTCCGCATTGCTTAAAACAATGAAAAAGATTTCATCAACATTTTTCTCGAAATTTAGCATGTTCTTTGGGACCATATTTTTCCTAATTATTAAATTAATAAAATGATCATAATAAAATCATTTCCGGTTAATTTCTGAGCAGATCCATACAATTATGTCATCCATAACATCAATTGTAAATGTAACACTAATTTTATCACTGAAAAAGCCATCATTAACATAATTATAACCGTCCACTAATTAATAAAAAAGATTTCAGCAGGAGGATATGTTTTACTATAATAACAACGCTTCCATAAATAGTCAATCATGTCCTGACCTTGAAATTCAATTGTACCATAAGCATCGGTTGGGAATAAAGCTGTATGCTTCCTTATTGTCCATTTCTCATTAGTTTTGGCAAGTTTACTCTGAAAGAAAAAAAGAAAACTTTTTCAAATATTGAAAAAAACCAGAAATCAACGATCATCCTAATTCCAAAAATATTATTTGATGAAATGCATTCCAAGAGATACTTCCTTAGCAAGTAATTGATAAACTTACTGATAATCCAACCTCACTTTCGCAACCAGTCATCTCCGGTTCAGCTTCCTCATCGCTTCTGGTCGCATTTAGAATCCTTTCAGTTGATGGAGTATTCCATGATGTTGAGCATTGTCGACTTGACACGTGATTTCGTTTCAACCTTCCACAACCACATCTGTACATATATGTCGTATACAAGATCAAGTCTCAGATTATATAATTCATCGCAGATTATATAATTCAAATCATTAAAAAAGTCATTCGACCCTCTTAAATCAACTTACTTATCAGCACATCGATTACTTGGTATAAACTGGATGCATTCACGTTTCTTGAATGTTTGTTCTACCCAATTATTTTGCAACAATGACTGCAAATGAAAGAAAACGGATATTGATATAAAAGAAAAAATTATGATTTTAAAATGAAATTAAATTTTTCACAGCACCACTTCATTAAAACTCTCGACATGACCTGTATATCAAATAATTTCAAATTTAAGTCAAACAATCTAAAACAAAAGATGATAATAAACTCACAGTTGAACTAGTAGCCCTTGTTCTCAAATGTACTGTACTAGTTACTAAAGTTGGCGTTGCACATACATCGAGTGTTTCTTGCGTAAAATATTTCGGTGACACATCCTAAAATTCTTTCCTGAAGAAGACTAATCTGCTTGATCAGTTTTATGAATCAATCTGACGCATAAGCTTCCAATATGACATCATTGAACTATCACTTCGCAATTCCTTTCCATATACACTTTACTAAAATTGACATGAAACAGTACGCTTTACAAATTAACAAGCTTAAGATCTT